TGAAGTGAAAGTGTTTGCAATATGACAATTCTACGCAGCATTTTAGGTACATATAGTTACATGTACGCCTATGTGTGTGTGTTTATGCATATGGGGATGTGTATATGAGTACAACATACATAGGCACATATATGTATATATCTATGCATATGCAACACCTCTTGTATCTCCCATGGTGATTCTCCTCTCCCAGATACTCTTTGTCCTGCAGCTGGGTAAGTTAGCAGGCTCCATTCGACGGCACATTAATTTTCTTTCCCTTGTAGAACTGCTTTAGATTTCTGTTACTGCTCGTGGCCACTCAGTGCTGTTAGGCACGTATAACTGTGTTCACCTTCTCTTTCGGAGAGCTGAGCGAGAAAAAAAACGCTCTGCAATAATATGTTACTATTTGTGTTTGGGAACCACCTGCGACTGGCGCATAAATAGATGTTGAGGGCAGGAGAGCAACCGGAGGAACCTGCTGCCCCGTGTCGCAATCACAGCGCGCTCGCATTAGGCTGGTGAATCATTAGCCTGGGCGATGCGTGTCAGCGTGGCAGAGCAGAACCAACGGCTTCATGAACATAATGGAGTCATGAACATAATGGATTCTCCCAAGGCAGGCTAAGAATCGTTTGCCGTTCTCTGGTTGTAAAGCTGGTGCTGCAGTACAAACAAGCCTGAGCGTGCACTTCTTCAGACACTTGTCCGTCTGTCTTTCGCTCTATTTATGCAAACTGGGCTGCTGCTGCAAGAAGGTGTCTGAGTTCTGGTGGACAAATAAGAAACTTAGAAATATGAGTTATTGGCTTTGTATTTACATGGGAATTAACCAATATTCTTTTTGTCCCTTTCTCCTTAAGTTCTTTTGTGTATTATAGCAGTTTTAGAAGAAAACTGATGAAAGCTGGAGAGGGACGTATTACAAGGGCATGTAGTGACAGGACACAGGGCAATGGCTTTGAACTGAAAGAGGGCAGATTTTGATTAGATCTAAGGAAGAAATTTTTACACTGAGGGTGGTGAGGCACTGGCACAGGTTGCCCAGAGAAGCTGTGGCTGCCCCATCCCTGGAAGTGTTCCAGGCCAGGTTAGATGGGGCTTTGGGCAACCTGGTGTAGTGGAGGGTGTCCCTGCCCATGGCAGGGGGGTTGGAACTGGATGAGCTTTGAGGTCCCTTCCAGCCCAAACTGTTCTGTGATTCTATTTTACATTGTGACTTCTGGGAGCTCTTTGGACTCAAATCTTCTAAGGAATTGGAGGGAGAGCAAAAAAAAAGGCAGGTTTGAGAATGTGGAAATACTATTTAGATTTAAGACGAGAGATGTAGTTAAGGAAAAACAAACATGTTCCAGTTAGACATTAAGTGTCAGCTACTGGTAGTCAGTGGAGCGATCTGCCTATGGGACCCTATGGGACCCTGTGGATCCAGCTGATCCAGCTGCTAGGAGTTGTGAATCAATTAGTCAATTAATCAATTACCTTGAAGTTAAGGCCCTTCCTACAAAAGAGAGGCCATTTCCTCCTGGTTTTCGGAGAGGTGACAAACTGCTTGAGTGCTGCAGCTTCAAGCCTTCTTCTGGTGAGTGACAGGACCTTGCAAAAGTCTTTACTTATTTAAATCTGACTACCTGAATGAAGTAAATGCCAGGGAAAAAAAAAATGTTTTCTTTTAAGGGAAGGAATACATGGGCAAATACCTTTTTTTGTACTTAAAAATCATAAAGATTATGCTACATAGCTTCCCAGAGGAAGGGAAGAATGCGACTGATCCCAAATTTGTGTTCTTTGCGTTAGTGCTTTCAAATTGCTCTGGATGGCAGGTAGTAGCAAAGCAGAGAGATGTTGCGTGACAGCCTGACTGGAGATAAATTGAATAAATTTGATAATGATCTAGTAGATCAAAGAGCTCTTAATGAAGGACATTTCCCCTGATTGGCTAGCCAGTGATTATCTCATTCTCACTTCCTGAGGGGTCCTGGAGTTTTGTACTTGGAGGCTGAAGCTGAATTCCTGGCAATCTAGTAGGGTTCTTCTCAACCCTTTGGTTAAAATGTCAGGGGACACAGGGAATAAAAGGCAGAAATGCCACAGGTTGGCATGCCAGTTACTTCTGTTGGGGACTTCAATGCAATATTAACATTCCCCCTGGAATTTTGTACTGTGGTCTAGTAAAAGAATGCAAAAGTGGTAAACTGGAAGCAATCCTTTCCTCTGTGTTTTGGAACTGTGTAAATTCACACGGGGGTCTGCATTTGCCCCCATGTGCATTTCTGGCTGTGTGACTGTTTCAGTGCAGCTGCAGGGACGTATGCCCTAATTCCGGATTATTCTGTAGGGGCCTGGCTAATTTGAGCCATTCAATGCTAATTGAACTGTCAGTCTGTGACGGTGGAGGCTGCAGTGGCAACAGCCAAGTGTGCTGTATCCCTCGCTAAACGAGGGTTTGGCAGTATGGTAATTATCTTAACTATGGATTGAAGAAGGAATTTGGAGGAGCAGGGAGGACAGAGGGTCTCTTGCCACAGGGCTCTCTCTTCATCTGGATATGTTGCATTTACTCAGCCTGAGCAGCCATGGAGATGCTACCTGGGGTCCCAGCACTGGCTGCCTGCAGGGAATGTGGGTGCCATGTGAGTGATGGGAGAGGCATCCTGTACAGCCCTCTTGGTCTATTACTGCAGGGCATGGTGGGAGGCCCTGTCTTATGACCCTTGATAATACAAAGAGTCTTAGAGATCCCACCAGGAGGAAGCAGGAGAGCCCCCATGGAGGGGGCTGGTGTGAGGAGCCGCTGGTGAAGAGCTGAAGCAGTGAGCAGAAGGGATGTGAGGGAACTGGTGTGATGGGGATGGGGTCAGTGGACCAGTGAGGGGAGCAATGGTTGATTGTAGGGGCCTGGCTGAGGGAAAAAGGCTGTGTGTGAAAAGCACTGGTGTTATGGGCTATTGCTGGGAGTGGAATGCTGCAGAAAAAGCAGGAAGAAAATGCTGACTGAAAGGCTGCTGTTCCATACTGCTTTGGGGAGGAGAATCCATGAGCCTGTCTCGTACCCCTGCCCGGGGCATGAAGCACAGGTCTCTGTGCTGAATATTCACGAGTTCAGGAACTTGTAAATCGAGGAGTAAGTTCCTGGTCTTCATTGCTGCCTGTTTGTGTGTGTGTGTTTTTTTCTTTTATACCACATATTCATGGCTCAGTGACTCGTAATTGTAACTGCTGCAGGATGAACCATGTTGCCCGGAATAGAAGAGCACGTGGCACCCAGTGGTTGCCCCGAGATGTGCAGTGTACAACCTGTCCCCGGGCTTGCCTGAGTAATGCCCAACCCCGAGTTGCCTTGCTATGTGGCGTAAATCAGGTTTTGTGTTTTGGCTTAAAGCAGGAGAGACAAAGTTAGCCTTATAAGCAAGATGATGGCTTAAGTCACAATACAATAATTATTTTAACAGATGTCATATCTTCTGTTATATGATGTTAAGATGTTCAGAGTTTTAAAGCAATTCAGAACTGAGCAATTTCATGCACATCTCTTTGGTGCTTTACCCTTTCCCGTAGCTGCCTACGCACATCGGACCCTCTTCTAAATCACTCTGTGCGTTCTTCGTGCGATTCTTCTTAACTGCCTCTGGAATGTCCTCTTCAGAAATCCTGCTCAGGTTGCCCAGAGGCCGTTAAATGAGTTGGCTCGCAGGAGTCTGTTCGTTGCCGCTGATTCAAGGGAAGGTTCTCAGCAAGCCATGAGTTCGAGAACAGTCTTCCCACTCTGCTTTGCCAACAGCTGCCTTTTGCACAGTTACTTGTGAAGTCTGGTCCTTCGAAATCACTGCGACTTCACTGTCAATCTGTCTTAAACATGATGTCATCTCTGCTGTCATCGGGCTGCAGAAAGCATCTTAAAGGGACAAAGTTCAAACGGCAGGGTGCATGGTACCTTTAACTGAGTCATTTCAAGTCATCCAGTGCTCACAGGCAAAGCTTTAGCTTTTGTTGCACACTGAAAAGGACAAAAGGGGGAATTTTTTTTGGTAGCCACCACTAGATTAGTAATTAGTGGCTGTGTGCTGTTGCTGTTAGGTTTTATTAGCACAGACGGTTCTGTATTCTCAGTGTTAGGTTGTTCACAGTGAGAAAAAATCTCGAGTCTATAATTAGCCTTTTTAGTTCAATACAATGTGCATTAAAATCAGAGTGTAATCATTGCACCCGTGGCACGTTGTTACAAAACAAGCCTTCAGCTCACAGCTGCTCTCGGTCCTTCTCAGCAAATAATTTCCCTACTACTCCCAATGTGAGGGTTAGTCTCAATAAATTTACCAAACTCATGAATGTTTTTCTTCATCGTGTCTCTGTGTTTTAAAAACAAATTGTTCTGCTCGCTTAGTT